TTTCCCTACGTTTCCAGACACCCAGTACTAACGGACCAGGGAGCAAAAGGCATTCTGATACCCGGATTGAGGGCGTTCTCAAAAGGTCCCAGAGCGCAGCCAGGTCGTGCTCTTGTCAAACGTGGACTGGAGGCAAAATGGACCTTTGTGTTGACTTGAGGTCTGGTGACTCAAGGCCGCTGTGGCAGGCCAGTGGCGGGCAGTGCCCTAAGTGTAGGGACCTCGGTGCACAGGTGGAGAGAGGGCTGCTGCGGGGAGGGGCGATGGCCGGTCTCCAAGCGTTAACTCGCCTTTACTGTGGGCGGGATAGAAGGTGGGAATTGGGGGAGGGGAGGTGACCAGTCCAGTCGTGATCGACTGTTTAGAGCTGAAGACTGAAACCAAGGGCCGGGAGGGCTTTTCCAGGAAACGAAAGCGAAAGAGGCGAGGTTACCCGCCCAGAGTTGGGGTGGGACCCGCAGTCCCCAGCGGACTAGCGGAGCGGAGGATGGCGGCGCCCGGCTCCTTCCCGCTGATTGTCGAGGGGTCGTGGGGCTCCGATCCCCCGAAGAACCTGAGCACCAAGTTGCAGATGTATTTCCAGAGCCAGAAGAGATCCGGAGGCGGAGAGTGCGAGGTCTGCCAGGAGCCAGGGAGCCAGTCACGCTTCCTGGTGCTCTTCTTCCCGAAGGACGGTGAGCAGCGCGAGGGACGGGATGAGGAGGGGGCGACCGGGTTCTTCCTGCAGGAGAAACTTGGGGCAGGAGCACGCGGCACGACCGGGGGTGCGGAGTGGACTGGGAGTGCAGGTGTTGCGGTTCCTCCGCGCGCTGAGCTTCCAGGCGCTTCCTGGCACTGCCTGGAGGTGGAGGTAAGAAGGCCAAGTGAGTCGCTGTTTCCCCTTCGACCCTTTTCTGCCTTCCTCAGTTTGTTTTTCCGTTTCTTAAGAAGGAAAGGGGTTAAGAAACGTAGGGTTGGAGCCAACAGGTGGCGTGGTGGTTAAGGGCGCTAGACTCCCATATGAGAGACCAGGATTCGAATCCTGGACCTGGCAGCTTGCTTTCTCACTTTCCTTCTCTCTGTTTCTCTCTCACACACATATGGTTCCTCTCTGGTCAAATTTAAAACAAACAAATAAAATAATTCTTTAAAAAAGAAAAAAAAAAAAGTAGGGTTAGGAAAAGTGAAGAGTCCTGAGAGGGGTCACTTGGGGAAGGAAGGAGGCCCTGCCTAAAATTGAGCTGAGAGTCAATATTGAGTCTTCCTCAGGGCCCATGTGGTGACCGGGGAAGGCAGCCTGGTGGAGAGCAACCTATCCACCTTACCGTGGCCTATGGTGACTCTTCCCTCTGTCTCAGGGTGGCCCTCCGACTCAGAGCAGGGGTGCTCCCGGTTCCGAGCTTTGGGGGAGCTTCCTTGTTGTAGGCAGTCTAAGGGTGAGTTGTGTCCCCAGCCCACGGCTGTTCCTGTTCCAGAAGGGAAGGCCTAAGAGCCCACCAGCAATCTGCTTGTGCTCAAGGCACCCATCCGTCTGGGATGGGGAGCCATCCACCTGCTTCGGCTGGAATGCTCACTTTTTCACTGGGATCCCATGGCTGGTGGTGATCCCCTAGGTCTAGGGAACCCCTGATCCTACCTTTTTGTCAATGGATTTGGAGAAGCACGTGGGCCAGAGAAGCAAGGAGGCTTCAGAGGCTATGCAGTTGGAGTGCTCCAGCAGACATCCAAAAAAGGAAAAAATGAAACTGAAAGAGATCAGGAAGACATGAGGAAGAAAGGGGACAGGAGGCCTGGGCTCGGAGCCTGATGAAAACAAAGCAGTGTTTCCTGAGATTGATTGCACCAGGAGTGCTCAGGAGGGAAGCTGCGTAGCAAAAGCATTTCCCCTCTGAGTTTTGCTTTTCCGGGAGGGGTTTTCCCACTCTGATTCCACCTGCCAACATCACCATGGACTTGGCCCTTCAGGACACTTCTTTCTTCTTTAGAATCCATCGTCTTCAGGAGTAGGTCTCAAATCATGGGCAGAGACCACCTGCGTCCTAGTCACCTGGAGGGCAGGTACAGGCACCTTCCCAGCTCTGCCCTAGAGATTCAGGGACCCGAGTGTGGGTGGGAGGGAAACAGCAGGTTTAACTAGCAGCCCAGGAGACCCCGATGGGCTAAAGTTGGAAAATCCCTGTTGTTTGTTGACCTCAAAGGAGCAAAAAGAGAAATCATTATACAAAATATAAATAGCATAACAATACAAATAGCGCAAGATATAATTTTGTGATGATAAAATAATTCAGTTCATAGCAGAGGCCATTTGAGTCTCCCTGCTGGGATTCTTCTTTCACAGCTCCCAGTTCTCCCACCACTGGGCTGCTCCAATGGCCCCTGTTGCCTTCCCCCAGAACAGGTGACTCGAAACTTCCTAAAGGGGCAGAACAGTGGCTTAGAGGTAACATAATGCTCTGTGAGGCTGACCTACATAGGGAGGTTCTGGTTTGATTCTGGGGACCTCCCTGGACATGGCCATGACCCAGGACTGGCTGAAGATGGAGGTGAATTATGACATTGAGACCCTATTGGGGTAGCCCCCTTCTCTCTCTGTCTCACTCATGGAAGAAAGAAATAAACTAAAAACAACAACAACAACAAAACACCAAAAAAGACACACACACACACACAACTTATTAAAACTCAAGACTTTCTATGATCAAAGTTCTTGAGGGGAGGGGTGTGGAAAGTCCCTGTTCAGTTTCAGTTTCCCACTTGAGGAACACTTTCTCAGCATTTCTGACTGGCACCCAGTTAGTCCCTCTTCCTCCACAGCTTCATGAACAGTCGAGGTGGGAAGTCATCCTGCCCTCGCAGTGACCGTCTCTGAACTCCATCCCTGGCCTCATCAGGCCAGCCATTTCAGAACACAACCTGGGAACCCAGCAGTCGCGCCTCACTGAATCCAGGAATAGGAGCTAGGCCCCCTCTCCCTGACCTCCTTGCACCCTTGACGGTGTGGACTACACCTCCTCTGAGTCGCTCATTCCCATTCCGTCTTCCATGGTCTGGGATAGGCTGTTTTTCTTTTGATTTCTCTGGCTGTTTCTTCTTATAACTTACATTCGCATAACTCTTGAGGATGTTGCAAAGTGCATTCACAGACACCATGATAAGTGAGACAGAAGGAGTCACGAGAAGTTAATGTCTGTGCTCACAGTCACTGAGTTGGATTTAGCTGGAGGTGGAGTTGGAATGTGAATCCAGGTCTCTGGACTCTTATGGCCACTGTTCAGTTTATTTACTGTAGCTCAGGTCCTTGATGTGTTGATTCTTTTTTTTTTTTTTTTAAATACAGTTTCTTCCATCTCCCTTTTTTTTGTTTGTTTTGCTACAGGGCTCATGTACTTGCTGGAGAGAGACAGGAAGGAAGAGAGAGAGGGAAAGTGAGAAAGCACCCCCGGGACAGTGACCATACTGCACTGTAATCTCTTCTCCTCCATTCCCCTTTCAGGATTATGGGCAGGCATGCACACATGCCTGGTATGTTCTTCTTTCTTTCCTTTTTAAAGAATTATTTAATTAATTAAATTAATTAATTAATTAATTATTTTTAACTTGACCAGAGAGGGACAGAGTGAAAAAGAGAGAGAGTGAGAAAGCAAGCTGCCAGGTCCAGGACTCAACTGCAGTGGGCCATGTGGGAGTTTTCTTTTCTTTTCTTTTCTTTTCTTTTCTTTTCTTTTCTTTTCTTTTCTTTTCTTTTCTTTTCTTTTCTTTTCTTTTCTTTTCTTTTCTTTTCTTTTCTTTTCTTTTCTTTTCTTTTCTTTTCTTTTCTTTTCTTTTCTTTTCTTTTCTTTTCTTTTCTTTTCTTTTCTTTTCTCTCCCTTCCTTCCTTCCTTCCTTCCTTCCTTCCTTCCTTCCTTCCTTCCTTCTTTCCTTCCTTCCTTCCTTTCTTTTTTCTTTCTTTCTTTTTTTAAGAGGTTTTTGTCTTAGGGCATGTGTGCTCACCAAAGACAGACAAACAGTGAGAGGGAAAATGAGAAATCACCCACCAGATGGGGTGGTCATGCCGAAATTCCTTCTCCATTCTCTCAGGATCTTGGGCATGCATGCACATGCTCCAGGCGTGAATGTCAAACCACCTGGTCCAGGATTCGAACCACGGTAAACTACATGGGAGTACAGCAGTGTAACCACTATGCCATCTGCTGGCCCTGCACCTGGTTTTTTTTTTTTTTTTTTTTTGCTATAGGGCCCGTGCACTCACCAGACAGACAGAGAGAGACAGAGAGACAGAAAGCGAGAAATCACCCCCCAGGGGGGATGGCCACGACACAATCCCTTCTCCTCCAGTCTCCTCTCGGGATCTTGGGCATGCACGCACACGCGCCCAGCGTGAGTTTAAGCCACTGGGTCCAGGACTTGAACCGTGGTCGACTACATGGGAGTCCAGTGACATAGCCATTACGCTAACTGCTGGTCCCAGCACCTGGTGTATTTTTCAAGCTGCTGGGTCTAAAACTCAAACCATATAGCTAGCTGTGTGGAATCCAGTCACCTTAACCTCCAGGTCACCTGTCCGGCCCCATTTCTTCTTTTCCATTCCTTTTACTATCAAACATGAAACCTCATCATCACAGGCTAAGGAACTGATTGAAACAGCATCTTAGCTAGGTTCCTCCTGGTCATTCGACTCAAGGCCACCTGGGACATCTCCTGAACATGGCTTTTGCATGCCATGCCCCAGCGCCAGGCTCCCCTGGCTTCCACGAGGGCTGTTTAATTAGTTCATTCAGTGTAGAATAAATATTGTGACCTTCTTGAGTGCCTACTGAGTGTCAATTTCTGCATTAAGTTATTTAAAATGGCTCTTCAATTTAATTCATGTAACATTCATTCAGAACAATCTCCACTAACCTTTTCAATAAGAAGATTGAAAAGACTTAGGTTTTATAAGTAATTAAGAAACATGCTCAATATTTAAAAATAAACTTAAAGATGGAATTCAAATCCATGTCTCTGTGCAAAACTTCTCCTCTTTTACCACGTACAACCTCTTTTGAGAAACTGACCAAGTTATTAATTGATGATGACACAGCCTATAGAAAGCATGGAATAACTTTATAAGTAAAGGTTGATTGCCATTATTTTTGTTTGTTTGTGACATTTCAGTTCGGCAGAATGTTCTGGAGAGAAAAAGTCATGAGTTAGAATGGCCAGGAAAAGGAACATTCCAGCTAACTGTTCGGCTGCCCGCAGCCCAAGATGTCCTTGAGGAGAAAATCCCAACAAAGGTAAGCAAACATGATGAATGGGAAGCAGGGCAGTCTACCGAGTGTGGGATATGGGAATCCCAGTGAAGAAAATATAGTGGAGTAAGTATTAATATAAATCAAACAAGTGAGAAAAGCAGCTTGTGAATGTGGAGGGAGTGAGAGTAGTGATAGAATTTTATGGACCAATGAAGGAGGGAGCATTTTTTGGTTTGATTTTAGATACTTTTGGAAAAGTTATGGACCAATGATGGAGGGGGGTCTTTCTTGTTTGATTTTAGACACTTGGAAAAGTTGAGATTTGGGGAATTATAATAATGGTGGTGTAGGATGTCAAATTTTGGGTCTGTTTGTGTTGGGTTCTTTAAAACCTGGAACTTGCTATATTGGGTTTATTTTTATGTCACTTATTTTGAGGGGGCAGTGCTCCTTACCACATGTAGTAGTTCCTCAGCTGTGAAACGAGGCAGTCATGGTATCTATCTCATTGGGTTGCTGATGGTTGTGAGGATTAAGCAAGGTGATGGCTATACAGCACACAGCACAGTGCATGGCATACAGCAAGTGCTTGGTAAATGTTAATGGGAGGGCGGGACCCTGAGCTAAGCTGTTTCTCTCGTTAAGGTCTGCCTCACACTTCAAACAGCTGGTGTTAATTGGGGTTTCTGTTCTTTTTGTCTCATTTTCACCATCCATCTTTTGTGGTGAGGAAGTGAGTATGCCACTACGTGTGGCCCCAGATGCATTCAAGTGCACCATCACCAGAACTTCCTGTTATTTCTATTTACCCGCCATCTTCAGGCTGGGCCCAGGACATTTTCTTAATGTAAAGAACTTATTAGCACTGTATTAATGCTGCTTTATTGTTTGGGTTTCAGGAATCCAAGGCCAAAGAGAATGTCAAAGAACCAGGTCAGTCACTGTGGAGATGTTTCTGATAGTCATAAGAAGTTTTGCTTTTATTCAAGAACTTGCTTGTGGGGGTCTTCCCCTCTCCTTGACTTATACACCTCAGGTTTGCTCAGCCTACACTGCCTTGGGCCACTTCTTCATACTCTGAGCCAGCTGTGTAGAGGGCAGACACTGAGGGAGCCCCGAGAGCTCTTAAGGCTCAGTTCAGAAGCATGGAAACACCTCTCTCTGGGGGCTGGGAGATACCATGAAGTTGCCAGAAAGGCAAAGCAGTGCTTGAGAGATGGTGGTCAGCTGCCCTTTAGAGCTGGCCTTTGAGAAGCAGGACATGGCATGTCTGTGGGTGTCATAGGTGGCAGTGACTGTGACTGCTCTGTGGCCTACACTTCTGAGCATGCTTCCTGCAGGGGCAGCAGCTCTTCTTATCTGCCGTAGGAAGCAGCCAGTAGCCAA